TCATCATCGGGACTGTGTGAGCGTCGATCGGAATGCAGGTTGGATGAACCCCACTCTTCGTCACAATGATATCACCCGATTTCTCTCTTTAATATCTCTCAGATCGACATATGCTCGTACTTTCTTCTCCAAACATGTGGATTGCCCATTTTGCCCCCGCCCTGGCCCTCAAGCCATTTTTTCCCAACCTCCCCATGTGGACTCTGGCCATGGCCGGCTCCCTCCCCGACGCAATTTTCTTCGTCAACGCCATGCTAGGGATCGAGGAATTCCGCTATAGCCCCACCCTCAACCTACGAGGCTGCTTTCCGTACGCCAACGATTATCCATACAGCCACTCCCTCGTCGGAGAGGTTATTATGGGTTTGTTTCTCTCTGGGTCGCAATTTTTGACCGCTCACGGCACAAATAATGTAGCTGCCGGTTTCGCGGCCTTATACACGGCCTTTTTCACCAAAACTTGGAGTACAGTCCCGATGACTGATTTCTTGCGATCTTTTTCGTGACATCGACGCACTACATCCTTGATGCCACGACGCACCGGCCAGGTATCTAAAATTGCTCATGATATCAGTCGCAAATAAATTTACGTCTTCGCTGTCAGACATGGTCCTGACCCCGTCTTCAAGCAAAGCCCATGGCACTTCGTTTGTTTGACTCTCCTAGCACGATGTTCCTCTTGGAGCTCGGGCTCATGGCCCTCGCCGCCGCACCATACCTTCTCTACACCTCCCAAAAGCCCACAGCGTCGGGCTTGCGCCGGAACGCGCCGCGCATCCTCGCCGCGCTTTTCGTAGTTGAGCAGTTCCAATTCTGCTACCTCGGGGCACCGACGACAAACACGCGGTGGGTGCATGCGCCAATGTTTCTCTCGACCATCTTGACGACGACGGCGGTGATGAGTTGGGTCGATGGAACTAGAGTGATTGGGAGTGATGGCGGGAAGAAGCAGTTGTAATGTTGGCTTACAATTGTGAGGCAGTAGGTTGCTACCTAAAATAAGAGAACAGTGTACAGTTGTAATACTTGTATCGTACATGATACCGAGACAATTCAGTCGGTCCTGTTCAATTTACACCCAAGGCGCTCGGGGCACAAGCTCTTTACCATTGCTCATGAATTTGTTAGATACCATACGTCTTGTGTGGGTCTCTCAGGCATCTGTGGAACTTAATCGTTTCTATCTCGTCTACTGCATCCGGAGTTAATCGGGCACGGTGAAAGTGCCGCTTTACCGTTGCCGCTGCCGCAGATTACCGCTGTTACCGTAAGATTGCCATAGCATCATTTGTGCCGCTGCCGCAACATGGTCACACTGCCGCTGCGTCACATTTCAACCCGGCGGCACTTTCTCTGCCAACCAAAAAAATTGGAACTTGAGATCTCTGGATGAATGTGTAACCCTGACCCTCCAGTATCGGGTTCCGGTGACAGATGCGGCTAAATTTCTGTTTAAATTGAGAAATGTAAAAAAATAGTCCTTGAACGGGACACTGTCAACTCACAGTAGCCCGCCGAAAGTTAATACCTCGTGTCCATTGAAGACCGAGACATGCAACACCCTTCGTTTGTCATTCAAAACCGGAAAAAAAACAGTAGCATTATGTCTAAGAACAAGATTATCTACGGTTAGTATGGTCGTGATTGCTGAACAAGCACAAGCGGTCGCCGGCGCTTCGCGCCGGCTCCCACTTGCTGCATGTAACTAAAATAAGAATGTTGATCCGAGCTGCCAGAATGATAGATTAAAAGCGGAGTTTAAAAGCTTCAGACAGCCAGAATGGCTTAATTTTATAAAGAGGAAGATTCAAGCTGTTTTGCCACAACGGAGTACGGTCGGCGGCATGGTCGCGGTTGACTTTTGATTTTGATTCCCGACTGATGGACATCTAACCACGCCCACGTGATATATACGCAACCCATCGGCGCGTAAACTACTGTACCGCACTGTATGGTAGCAACTGCCGGGGATGCGTTACACCAGCTAACTTTAGAAACTTAGCAACTAAGGGGATGTCAGGCGTTACACATGCCAATTTAGGCAACTTTGGAAGGGATCGGCCGCTGCTCGGTAGCCAATTCGCGTCCCTGCTTGTATCGTACATAGGCAGGGAGTCTGGTCGAGGCGAGGGGCGAAGATACTTAGCGAGAAGCGATGATGTTTTGGCACCATTTTGGCGCCGAAAAAATAGATTTTTACGCCTCAATTTTGATAGCAACTGGGCCTGCAAATTAGGCAAGTTTTTGGGGCACCGTTATGCGTTACGGTTGCTACCATACAGTGCGGTACGGTAGATATAATCGTCTCCTATAAATGGGTTGGATCTACTACTCCACGAAGTAGTGGCGCCATGCTATTAAATATAGCCCACCCAGAAAGTGCCTCAAGCTTAGGTGAACCAATCCCAATATAGACTCCCATCGCAACCTCGGCAGCACAGGACTTGGATACTGATCCTGCTCTTTGCACTGGAGAAGATACTTGTTTTCGTCATTTCCAGTACAAGACCAATGTCGGACGCTGCCATAAATGTGTGCTTATCACAAACGCTCCCGTGGCGGAGCATGACAGAATAAATGCAAGATGTACCTGACAGTTATACCATACCACTTTCTTCACACTTTCTTGCAGGCTTTGGGACAATGCTTGGGCTGTGGTAACACATCGGCGCGACTCAGCACTGAATATTGCGGTCTCTGCGAGAAGAAGAACCGTGAAATACCCTCTCTTTTCGGAGTATCAAATATGAACTCACCCTGATGTGCAGAGAGACGTGTTCAAAACACGAATTTGTCTGGGGCTCCATCGGTAGCCACTTCGGAGCAGCAAGGTAGTCACGAAGCCGTTGTTCTGTGCATTACACTGACCATCATTTGCAGCACCAAAACCTGTTTACATCAGTTCGAAATATTGGACAATTTCACCGTGCCCAGCGGAAGGATGCCGCAAACTTCAATGGTTCGAGTGTCAAGGCTCAACAGTCCACCGTCGCAATCAATGCGGCCAATATGGCGACTCTCAAAAGCAACAACCTGGCAACAAACGAGTGCTATGTATTTGTTCTGGAACCCTTCGTGAATTCCAAAGCTTGTGAATTTCTTCCAACCTTTGAGGTCATCCGAGAGGCTGCAATTAAATTCTCAGGTGCGAGTATCTTTCGCTGTATCTGAACATCCATTTATTCACCTACTGTAGAAATCGTGGCCAATGGAATAGCCAGCTTCAACTCTAGCTGGGAGGATGCCTCAGAGTCGAGTCTCGTCCGGTGAGTTCCTTTAGTTCTCAACGTTGAAGCTGCAGCTGAGATCAACGAAACTGCTCAGACATGAGACTTTCCCGTATGAACAATGTTCACCTCGAAATTGAGCCCCAATCGAGCTTCCGCAATGTTTTTCACGCGACATTAAAGGACTGTGGCCAGAACCTAGACAAGACTGTTCCCACCAAGTTTCGAAACCACAAATTAGCCACGTTATATATGGAAGCACACATTGACGTAGAAAAGGCGCAATCTGCGCCTCTCGGCCTGCATTCAAAACTGATGTTTAAATATAGTTCCACGCTCGGACCGGAGTTCCACCGCCCCCCGGACTTTTCAGACCCAAAAAGCGAATTTGGACGGAGAACAGTAGCATTTCTCTTGGTAGTTCAGTTCTCAAGCGCACAGGAATTGGTACGTCAAGTAATATATTCTCGCAACTGATTTCTCTGATCTATAAAATTTACAGCTTCTGCTGGGCCCCACTCATTGAAGTCGTTGTTTGCTTTGGCCTCTCTTGCGAGCACTGCGACCCCCGTGAGACTGTTCTTTGCGGAGCACACTTCAGACCCAGAGACAGGTGTCCCAATCTTTCAATTGGTGCACGGACGATCCAAACCAGTGACAGCGGCGCTGGAGATCATGGGGATAAAGGGATACAGACTTTTGTGGACCAACATGAATGTGGGCAGAGATGCTTTCAGCTGGAACTCCAGCCCCTCAAGATGCAACAGAAGATGACTAATTACGGTGTACTCCGCAACTACTGTCTTGGGCCAGTAGACAGTTAAAATTGAACGGATTTACTCGAATGAGCCAAGAATAAGCGACGCGTTTCATATGTCGCACGTGGTCGTGACGTTGATCCGGAATCAGAATCAAAAGTCAACCGCGACCATGCCGCCGACTGTAGTACACTGAAGCTCAATGTACATTGAGCTCAGCAATGTCAATGGGAATTTAATCTTCCTCTTCCTCTGTCTCTCCCAATTTCTCAAGCCCCATCTGAATGCATCTCTGGCGACATTAGATCAAACAGAATTCCCACTTTGTTTGATGGATTATGGCTCTCGGACGTTGGAAAGGTACTCTGGCTAGTGGTGGTCCCAAATTCGCGCTTGAGCGACACCATTGGACATGTTTTTTTGGACATGGTGTCGAAATGTGGAGGTATTTGGGCCATTTTCTCATTGTTTTTGTAATAATATCTGCCATCTCAGTGCAGGTTACCTTCGATGGCGGTAGCGAGTTTGGCTATCGGGCTTCTCGGAGATGCCGAAATTGCCGTATCTGTTGTAATTATGCATTGATGAGCCAATAAGACCAAGAAAAGATGCCTTACAGGTCGCCTGCACCGCCCACACAGTCCCACAACATTGGGAGTGGGTCAAGTTCAATGCGCTGGGTTACTTGATCGTGACATCACCGATCAGAAATCAAAAATCAAAAAGTCAAAATCAACTGCGACCATCTGGCCGACTGTAATCTGGCCGACTGTAGACAAAGGGGGAAACAGAGGAGATAAAAACTCGACTTCCAGACCCATTATGCATTTTCAAACCCAATGGGCATATATAGTAGGTCAAACCACTAATCACTCATACTTCGAAAGGATATTTAGAAATAATATTTAAACAATTTTTACATCTTTTGAACTGTACCGAGAAGATGATGAGTGCTCAGCAACCTGAGGCTCAAGCTGCAGAGCATAGTATAATAAGAGCAATCTGAACTTTCAGTGGCCCAATGGTCTAGACGTATGATACACGCTTCGGGTTGAATCCTTACGCTTACGTATCCTGGGTTCAATTCCCGGTTGGGCCCTTCTTTTTCTCGTCCTGTAGCACCTATTTTCGCTCCCTAAACATCCCAGGACGTCGTAGACTTCCCCTGGATGAGAAATCAATTTTTCGATCAGCTACAGCTCCACCGCATTTCATATAGCTTCCGATGGCTCCCAAATGGATCTAACTGTGCTCTAGGATGTGTATGAGTGCAAGATACGGGTACTGGAGCTGTTCTGGAGGAGCACTGGGTTTGAACTTGAGCTGATCGTATTTTTTGATCGACTTCCCAAAATGTAAAGTAAGTACGGATTCAGCATCTTGGTCTGTGATGCCGTGCCTGCCGAACAAAGTCGATTTGAACTTCAAAAAGATATCTGTAACCGGCCACAAAACAGCGTTCTATGTGCCTTCCAGGCCGTTTATTCCGGAACATTAAAAGGGGTGTGAGAATGTCCGTCTCTTCCTGCTGCGGTGAATCAAACATTGGAGGAAGGAAGTTCAAGTTAAGTGTAGCATGATCACGAACTACTAGTAGAACCCCCACAGCTGCACATGCAAGCACATGCACCCGGCCCGTGATTACAGTCGGCCAGATGGTCGCAGTTGATTTTGACTTTTTGATTTTTGATTTCTGATCGGTGATGTCACGATCAAGTAACCCAGCGCATTGAACTTGACCCACTCCCAATGTTGTGGGACTGTGTGGGCGGTGCAGGCGACCTGTAAGGCATCTTTTCTTGGTCTTATTGGCTCATCAATGCATAATTACAACAGATACGGCAATTTCGGCATCTCCGAGAAGCCCGATAGCCAAACTCACTACCGCCATCGAAGGTAACCTGCACTGAGATGGCAGATATTATTACAAAACAATGAGAAAATGGCCCAAATACCTCCACATTTCGACACCATGTCCAAAAAAACATGTCCAATGGTGTCGCTCAAGCGCGAATTTGGGACCACCACTAGCCAGAGTACCTTTCCAACGTCCGAGAGCCATAATCCATCAAACAAAGTGGGAATTCTGTTTGATCTAATGTCGCCAGAGATGCATTCAGATGGGGCTTGAGAAATTGGGAGAGACAGAGGAAGAGGAAGATTAAATTCCCATTGACATTGCTGAGCTCAATGTACATTGAGCTTCAGTGTACTACAGTCGGCGGCATGGTCGCGGTTGACTTTTGATTCTGATTCCGGATCAACGTCACGACCACGTGCGACATATGAAACGCGTCGCTTATTCTTGGCTCATTCGAGTAAATCCGTTCAATTTTAACTGTCTACTGGCCCAAGACAGTAGTTGCGGAGTACACCGTAATTAGTCATCTTCTGTTGCATCTTTGAGGGGCTGGAGTTCCAGCTGAAAGCATCTCTGCCCACATTCATGTTGGTCCACAAAAGTCTGTATCCCTTTATCCCCATGATCTCCAGCGCCGCTGTCACTGGTTTGGATCGTCCGTGCACCAATTGAAAGATTGGACACCTGTCTCTGGGTCTGAAGTGTGCTCCGCAAAGAACAGTCTCACGGGGGTCGCAGTGCTCGCAAGAGAGGCCAAAGCAAACAACGACTTCAATGAGTGGGGCCCAGCAGAAGCTGTAAATTTTATAGATCAGAGAAATCAGTTGCGAGAATATATTACTTGACGTACCAATTCCTGTGCGCTTGAGAACTGAACTACCAAGAGAAATGCTACTGTTCTCCGTCCAAATTCGCTTTTTGGGTCTGAAAAGTCCGGGGGCGGTGGAACTCCGGTCCGAGCGTGGAACTATATTTAAACATCAGTTTTGAATGCAGGCCGAGAGGCGCAGATTGCGCCTTTTCTACGTCAATGTGTGCTTCCATATATAACGTGGCTAATTTGTGGTTTCGAAACTTGGTGGGAACAGTCTTGTCTAGGTTCTGGCCACAGTCCTTTAATGTCGCGTGAAAAACATTGCGGAAGCTCGATTGGGGCTCAATTTCGAGGTGAACATTGTTCATACGGGAAAGTCTCATGTCTGAGCAGTTTCGTTGATCTCAGCTGCAGCTTCAACGTTGAGAACTAAAGGAACTCACCGGACGAGACTCGACTCTGAGGCATCCTCCCAGCTAGAGTTGAAGCTGGCTATTCCATTGGCCACGATTTCTACAGTAGGTGAATAAATGGATGTTCAGATACAGCGAAAGATACTCGCACCTGAGAATTTAATTGCAGCCTCTCGGATGACCTCAAAGGTTGGAAGAAATTCACAAGCTTTGGAATTCACGAAGGGTTCCAGAACAAATACATAGCACTCGTTTGTTGCCAGGTTGTTGCTTTTGAGAGTCGCCATATTGGCCGCATTGATTGCGACGGTGGACTGTTGAGCCTTGACACTCGAACCATTGAAGTTTGCGGCATCCTTCCGCTGGGCACGGTGAAATTGTCCAATATTTCGAACTGATGTAAACAGGTTTGGTGCTGCAAATGATGGTCAGTGTAATGCACAGAACAACGGCTTCGTGACTACCTTGCTGCTCCGAAGTGGCTACCGATGGAGCCCCAGACAAATTCGTGTTTTGAACACGTCTCTCTGCACATCAGGGTGAGTTCATATTTGATACTCCGAAAGAGAGGGTATTTCACGGTTCTTCTTCTCGCAGAGACCGCAATATTCAGTGCTGAGTCGCGCCGATGTGTTACCACAGCCCAAGCATTGTCCCAAAGCCTGCAAGAAAGTGTGAAGAAAGTGGTATGGTATAACTGTCAGGTACATCTTGCATTTATTCTGTCATGCTCCGCCACGGGAGCGTTTGTGATAAGCACACATTTATGGCAGCGTCCGACATTGGTCTTGTACTGGAAATGACGAAAACAAGTATCTTCTCCAGTGCAAAGAGCAGGATCAGTATCCAAGTCCTGTGCTGCCGAGGTTGCGATGGGAGTCTATATTGGGATTGGTTCACCTAAGCTTGAGGCACTTTCTGGGTGGGCTATATTTAATAGCATGGCGCCACTACTTCGTGGAGTAGTAGATCCAACCCATTTATAGGAGACGATTATATCTACCGTACCGCACTGTATGGTAGCAACCGTAACGCATAACGGTGCCCCAAAAACTTGCCTAATTTGCAGGCCCAGTTGCTATCAAAATTGAGGCGTAAAAATCTATTTTTTCGGCGCCAAAATGGTGCCAAAACATCATCGCTTCTCGCTAAGTATCTTCGCCCCTCGCCTCGACCAGACTCCCTGCCTATGTACGATACAAGCAGGGACGCGAATTGGCTACCGAGCAGCGGCCGATCCCTTCCAAAGTTGCCTAAATTGGCATGTGTAACGCCTGACATCCCCTTAGTTGCTAAGTTTCTAAAGTTAGCTGGTGTAACGCATCCCCGGCAGTTGCTACCATACAGTGCGGTACAGTAGTTTACGCGCCGATGGGTTGCGTATATATCACGTGGGCGTGGTTAGATGTCCATCAGTCGGGAATCAAAATCAAAAGTCAACCGCGACCATGCCGCCGACCGTAACGGAGTGCACATTAATCATCATACAATCAGTACTTTCAAATCTGTCCCAGACCAGACAGATGTATGCTACCTCGGCACAAAGTCCGTGAAAGATGAAGGGCAAACCAGAATTGGAACAATGAGGATTTGAAATTACATGGTAGCGGGGTGAAACCTAGTCAGATCACCCTGGTTGAATGCAGCAAATTTTTAGGTGGCTTGAAGTTTCATTAAGCGGCACGAAGAATGAAGGCGTGTGGACCAAAACCTTACCGTCGGTTTGGGACGCAAATCAGCCAAAGATGAGTTGGCTAAGACTGTTGCGGCGGCGCCAAGCGCCACGTGCGATGCCAAGTTAATAACCAACCACACCGTGTCCGCGCCTGAGTCGGTGAAATCCCGGCTCGTTCCTCGTCTCTTGTACAATGTAAACAGAATATACACAACAATGTCCAACTTGAAGTCGTACCTCGTTTTGTTACAGCTCTGCCAAGTCTCGGGGGACCGGAGCTGGGTCGCGGACACGCACAGACAGAGAGAGAGACGGACGGACGGTTCAATCCACCCTGATTATCTGTGGCTTAAAAAGTCTTGAGTGGCCAGTGCTTGCGCAGCAAATGCAGCGAATTGGGTCGACATCACTTGGGGAAGGCTAGCAAATTTACGATAATCATTATATTTCTCCCGATCGTAACAGGCATTCCGGCGGTTACTATCAAGGTCTACTCTGCGGATTTAGACATAGTTTTTGTGTTACTGCCGCTGCTAAGAATGATCGAAACGCGTCGACGTTAACTTGAACTTTGTTGTTCGTTCGAAGTTGAAGGATCGAATTGTTTCCACCCAACTTACACTGGTTCCAGTCTCCGATGTCTCAAAACACAGCTCATCCCGATCAGCTTCGGATCCATAGACCGCGTTCACCAAACAATAACGCCGCAAGTTCAAGTTCAGATCCACCTCATAGCGACAGATGTGTTGACGCCAGCATGCCGGTACAGGCACAACTAATACCAATGAACCTACAGGATCTCCTCTCCGGGATCACTTCACAGGCATTGAGAATAAACTATAACTAAATCCATCAGCAGATGTAGTATACCCAAACAGCATTATTCCTCACAGTCGTTCGAGAACTTGCAGGTAAAGGGCGATGCGCACACTGTGCAGCCCGTAAACCCCTGCATTCCAAAAGTAAGCGGGCTTTCATACGATCAAGAAAGTGAACGCACGCTGCCTCCGCACTGTGCGAACCTGTGTTCTGATTTTATCACAAGGAAAGACGCGGACAACACTAGCCCTCACTGTGGCGACGTACACCCCGTGCTGCCGCCACCAGTGCCAGTCGTAGTCCTGGTCGTAGTAGTCGCCGGCGGCATGGTGGCTGCACCACAAACGGCAGGCTTCCCCGTGTTAGGCTATCCAATCGTCTGAGTCAGTCCGAACCTCTTCACCGATAAACGAAAATTAGACTGACACCCAAGTTGGAGTTGATCGTCATCGGCGGGATCTTAATACTCGCAACAGTCCAGGTCTTGCCGCTATCGGCGGTCGTCAGCTGACTGGCC